TAGTCCTGAGTTCTAGTTTGATTGCACTGTGGTCTGAGAGACAGTTTGTTATCATTTCTGTTCTTTTACATTTGCTGAGGAGTGCTTTACTTCCAACTATGCAGTCAATTTTGGAAGAAGTGCGATGTGGTGCTAAGAAGAATGTATACTCTGTTGATTTGGGGTAGAGAGTTCTGTAGATGTCTATTAAGTCCGCTTGGTGCAGAGTTGAGTTCAATTCCTGGATATCCTTGTTAACTTTCTGTCTCGTTGATCTGTCTAATGTCGACAGTGGGGTGTTAAAGTCTCCCATTATTATTGTATGGGAGTCTAAGTCTCTTTGTAAGTCTCTAAGGACTTGTTTTATGAATCTGGGTGCTCCTGTATTGGGTGCATATATATTTAGGATAGCTAGCTCTTCTTGATGAATCGATCCTTTTACCAGAGGCCAAATAGCTTTAATAGCTACTCAACAGGAAGTCTGGCTGAACAGTCATCAATCCAGCTTAATCCTAGGACTGCTTTAATTCACTTCCACATGTGTATTTGTTTCATAATAATTTTGTAATCATAATAGGACTGAAGAACTATATTAATGCAACTGAGTTTTTCAATCAACTGTGCAATGGTCAGAAAGAGAATTATCTATGTCGATTAATAAAAACCAAAATTAAGTTCAATTCAAATAATTCAGGTTCTTAGAAAAGTGCTCAATTGGAATATAGCCTAGGGGTCTCTTTCAGTTATGAATATTTTATTGAGAAAATACCATTTAAAAAGAATTAAAGTATTCATATATTAGCAGGATGAAATATAGTGGAAGTTTTTTCATAGCAGAGCACATTTCAGAAACATAGGCATAAGAGCATAAAATAGTATTCTGCATCCAGGGAACAGTACATAGTCATCATGGCTGGAGCAGTGCAAGGGACTTGGCTGGAGCAGTGGGCAAAGGCTTCAAATTATGAGGTTAAAAATGCATCAATAAACGATGTTGATCATGTATTTCAAGCAAGAAAGAGACGTGTTTAAAAATGTAGTTTTTAAATATCACCCTAGACGTTGTGCAGAAGATTGATTAAAGTGGGATATGTCTGTGAATAGAAGAACCTCTGTCCAGGAAAGAAGCAGGTTTTAAACTGAGGCAGTAACTAGACATGGCTAGCAGGGTTTAGACAAGGGTTATTTTAAAGAATTGAATAAATGAAAACCAATAATCAAGTGAATATGGGCAAGATAAATAGAATTCTAAAGTGATACCTAAAATTCTGCCTGTGAAGGAAACACATGCTCAGATGGAGACATGAAAAATGTACCTGGGGTACATCCACATGGAAACTTTAAGCATGCAGTTGAGATTTAAGATCTTAGACACATGAATGAGGCAATCATTAGCATACGAGTGATAATTCAAGGCATAGAAGTGGATAATGTCACCTCAGGAAAGTCTACTAAAAAAGTGAAAAATTAATACCCTGCAAAATACAGATAAGGCCATAAAATACCAAAATGGGGAAGTAAAAGAGTAACATGGGTTTGTCCCATCAGATATGCCTTGACATAACATAGGGATAGGAGGTAGTCATTTGACAGCCAAAAATGCCTTGTCATTTAGGTAATTATCAGTTCTACATCATAGGAACATTGCCAAGCAGTAAAGGGAGGAGGGAATTTCAGGTTGGTAGGTGTACTTAGCAGTACACCATCAATGCCATCAAGAAGTAGGGCATTAATGAGAATAAAAATGGCCATTACATATGTCAATGCAAAAGTCTTTGTTGAATTCAGCAGTGCTGGGCAGACCAGCATCCTGATAATAAAGAAGGGTACTTGTTATAGGTTTTATTGGAGCTAATTTTCTAACTCCAGTATCTCGTTTTTTGAAACAGTGTTGTTGCAGATGTAATAAAAATGAGGTTATAATACATTAGAGTAAGCCCTTAACTCAAAACGATTGATGCCCTTATAAGAAGATGACCATGCGAAGACACAGACACACAGAGAAAACACCATGTGGTGACTGAAGCAGAGATTGGTGTAATGCAGCTACAAATCAACAAGCAACTATGATTGATGGCCACCACCAGAGGCTAGGAAGAGGCGAGGAAAGATTCTACTCAAATTTTCAGATTCTCAGAGGAAACCTGGCCCTGCTAATGCCTGTATTCCAGACTTCCAGCCTCCAGAAGTAGGAGACTCAATTTCTGTTGTTTTAAGCCACCCAGTTCGTGCTACTTTGTTATAGCATTCCTAGGGAGCTGATACAGCTCCCAACTGGGCTCAAAGCTCAATCAGAGGAGAAGGGAAAGTTCTGAACCAGAATATACTTGGTTCGCTCTCCCACAGTCTCCTGGTCATTGGATGATGTTGGCCCTTGATTTCAGCCAAGGACCTCCATTAATTCAAGTAAAATTGAGAAATAGTTTTTCTTTTATTTTTAACCACATGATGTCAATAAACAGGTGAACTTAATTTACACTTGAAAATATATTTATTCTTCTGGTCTTGTGCCTTTCTTAAACTTTGTTACACATACAAGGTTAACTGGATAATTAAAGTCATTTCCTAGAATATTTAGGTCATAAAAATAATTAACCTGAATCATCTAGGTGATGAATTAAAAAAAAAAAAAAGGCATGAGGGCGGTATTTTCTCCTGACCTGTATATAAAAATGCTTCAATTTTCATAAGACTTCTGATGCATGGACACAGCCCCATTTTAAAAAACTAGAAATAAAAGGTCTATATAAAAAATATGCATTCGCAAGAGTTCCATTTTTCTTTTGAATATATCCATTAAGCCCTCAGACGTCTTATTTTTCCCATTTTTTTACATTATCACTGTAGGGTCTCCTAGCAGTGAAGAATACTCTCATAATTTTTTATCTAGTATACCATATCTCAAAGTTCTTGGAATAACCTATGTGTTTTATGTTTGCATTCTTTCAGGAGAGAAAAATATATATATCTCAGGAAAGAAAAAATCCAGCACCTACGGCATAATGTTAGGAGAGAACGCGCCAACAAAATCTAACTTCCACAATAAATCTGTTCTGTCAGCTCCTTGACAGGCATGTTTATGTTGACCTCTTTCTGTTTGAAGAGAGAGGAAAGAAACTGGTGTTGATCAAAGGTTACAGCAGAATAAAAAATATACTGGGACACGAAATTGTGACATGTATTTCCCCCACCAGTCAGGACTCTATGTTCAATATTTTTATTTCATTATGCTTACAAAAGCAAATGAATGTCTCTTTATATTTCCTTAAGAATGAAAAGATGAATGTTTCTTTCTTTGCAAGTTCCATGGAAGCTAGCAACATTAATACTATAAACATTTTAATACTTGATAATGGTTATGTCTTCAAAATGCAAAACGTTTTATTCTGACAAATAAAAACTCTAAAAAAAAGATGCATCCTTCTTTGTTGTTACATACAAATGGGCTTATATTGCACCAATCTGTTCACTTCATCAAAGTATTTGAGGGTTCATTTGAAAGATTACATTTTCTAACTAAGCATACCTTATAAATTTGCATTATATGTCCACTAACAGATGTATATATGTCCTCTGTTGTATGTTTAAGATGTTGCATGGACTTAACAATGCAAAACATTATATTAATGCCTTTCTAATGAAACAAATTGGAGTCTCAGATCTCTTTTAATCTTCTGAAGGTGATTTAAAAAAAGGTAACCATGTATATAAACAGATGTGAATTTCACAAAACACTTCTATAAAAATAAAAATACCTAGCACAGTAGCATGCACACAGTGTGCAATTTCATGGAAAAAGGAAAAAAGAAAATAAATAAGGAAGGGAGATTTAAAGTGAGGAATATTTTGCATATATAACATTTCTAATATTCTTTCAGTGAAAGACTTAGTACCATCTTTTTTTTTTAACATGGCAAGGTCATTCCACAAAATATGAAATAAAATCAGTAACAGGGATAGGTATCTTAAGCCTATGATGTGGGTTTCATTACTAGGTGAATGTTCTTGCTTGATGTCTAGGTGTTTGAAGTGTTAGCCACGTGGAAAAGCACCTAAACTGTTAAAATTCTGCTTCTGCAACCTCCCAGGACTTCCAGGCAGCCATTAACAATATGGCCACTTGAGTGCTCTCTGTGTGACAGGCACTGTGCTGGGTGCTATAGTGATCTAAGGACTTGGAAAGACATATAAAATGCAAATTATACATTCCTAAGAAAGACATGGATAAAGGCATTTAAGAGAGAAGATTACTTCTTTGAGTAAGCTGGGAGATCAAGAAATACTATGGGGAAGCGGGAACATTTTAACTGATTTTGAAGGATATACAAGATTTAAAGATACATCAGTGGGGATAAAAGACCATCCTGGGCAGAGGGAATCTGTAAAAATGGGGATTATCAGAGCATCCACTTCACAATAATTGAGAGGATCAAGTAAGATGCTTTCTATAAAAGTAATCTCTAAAATATAATTTTAATGTGATGATTAGTATTCAGCAGAAATGGTAGGGTGGGTGCTCTGAGTTCATAGACTTAACAATTCCAGAAATTTTACAGTTTGTTCCCAGTACCAATTAGAGAAAATTATCCTTCAAAACCCTGTTTTGGTGAAGACCTATTTGAATAAGACTACAGAACTTTATTAAAAGATGTAAATGTCTTCTAGGAGCTTAAAAAATAAATACTAAGAGGTAGTATTTTTCAAATTAATGTAGATATTAATAAAATTCCAACAGACATAAGTAATTTTTAGAAATTGACCAAATTATTCTAAAATTAATATGAAAAATATAAAAATACAGGATATTTTTTTAATTTGGGAGATGGGAATATCAATAAGAGAGAAGAGTGGCTGCCTTACATATTAAAAACATGTCAGAAGTCCACAATAATTAAACTTGTGAGGCTGGTCGAGAATAGCAAAGACAGTTTTACTGAAGAGAATAGAAAGAACAAACATAGAAAAGCATAGAGCTAAACAATCCATACTTGGTAAATCTAACAATTCAAATAGTTTAGGAAGGAAGATGTATTTATCAATAAATTTTGCTACATCAATAAAGTTCTTACAAGATATATCAACTTCAGAATAGACAACATTTGTAGTTTGCAGCTGATCTAAAGCAAAACCCATTAAAGGCTTAACAGAAACAACTGATCCCTGGCTGGAGAGCCAGAAAAGTTACCAGCCAGATTTCTGAGTACAGACCACCACCAAACAGAGTGGAACACCTTGGACAACAATATAAGCATGAATCCTGCAAGCATAAACCCAATAGTAACCCAAGATGCCAGAGAACAAAGGCCCAAATAAAAAGACATAAATAGAAAAATAGATATAAACATACATATATAATTATATATTTAACTTTAAAACACAATTTAGAGCTGAATATAGTGCTGAAAATAGCTTTGGCAGACAAAATCCCAAAACATTTATTGGTCTAGGGATCATGTGGACAGCCCTTGGATAAACCTAACTACTCAGGTTACCTGGGCTACTCACCAGGATAATAATAACGGCAATTACTTGAAAATATTTTATAGTATTTCTATGGTTCCAGGTTTTTCCTTCTGCAAGTTCCTTTAGGGACAGGGAGCTAGTTTACTTAACTCCAGAGCTCTACTTTCTAGGAAAGAACCCACTGCATAATTGAACATAAATATTTAATGAATATTTGAATTAAACTAGGGGCTCTATGAGACTCCTGACTATGGTTTTCTATATTTTCCTCCAAATCTTAATCATTCTGATATCTTTTTAAATATAAAAACTTTTTTTGGCTTCATGCTTTCTAGAAAGTACATTGATAATGACTCATAAAATTAATTCTTGGAAACCACCATGTTTTGTAATTTAAACCAGTAAATAAGCAACACCCTGGAAAGAAAACAAACCTGGATCTTCATGCAACAGGGTTACCTAAGTAAATATTCTAAGACTGTAACAATTAAGAAAACACTAAAACCAAGCTTTATTTTCTCTCTTTTATTTCAACAAATACTTAAGAAGAATATGACTTGCCCTTGCCCTTTACCCATAGGGAATACACACACATGTATACACACACACACACATACACATACACACACCCTTACTCCCTGGGTTTTACGATGGTTAGCAAACCTGAGCCATTTAAAATTACTCATATAAAAATGATACTGCTAATATTTTGGAAAGACTCTTAATAAAAAAAGAAGTATTTAAGAACTAACAGATATAAACTGGCTTTCTCATAGTGTGTTTACATTATTGCACCCCAAAGATAAGATTTTTTTAATGTAGTCCTTTAGTGAAAATAATATATTTCAAAAGCACTAGTTTTCCTCTGAAGAAGCACAGAAAGGTAATATGTAATAATTGCCGTTGAAAGCTATAGCCTCACAGTGTAACTTCAGCAGCCCCTGATCCCTTTTTCTCTGTGATTCCCAGCACTGTCTCCTGTCACTTAATTTATTCACCATCATATCACAGTCCTACAGTAATTCTTACTCCTCCAGAGCTCTGAGAGAACAGTAGGAACATTTTACTTCAAAGAGCCACTGTTGCAGAAGCAGAGGGCCCCCACAGAAGCAAACAATCAGATCTTTATTTCCCTTTCAAAGTGACTGATTAGACAGCAGTTTTACAGTGACCATTATAAAGTGCTCGCATGTGTCAGAAACCACTCTTTGTGTATGTGTGTGTCTGTGTGTGTGTGTGTGCAAGTACATACCCTCTTAATCTTCACAACAACCCTATATGACTGTTGTCATCACCGCCATCTTATGGATGAGGGAACTGAGGCTTATGGAGTTAAAATCATAGAGTTAATCATTGGCCATGATCAAAACCTGTTTACTGTGATCCTAGAGGCGATGTTATTTATACCAGGCTCTACTGCCTCCCCAGGGCAGGCATTCATCCAATCTGCCTTTCAAGGCAAAGCAAAAAGATTATTTTCCTCTACCCTTCTTTAAATGTACATACTTTCTGATCTAGGAATTGAGATATTTCTATTTTTAGATAGCTAAGTGGCTGAGGATTATCTCTCCTGTCAAAATGATATTCCCCATGTGGCTTGTATTGAATAAACTTATTAACAGTAAATTTTTCTCAGGTAAACTTGAGCTTTCACACACACACACAAAAATGGTATCCATGAAAGAGTGCCTTTAAATGGTTTAAGTCACAGCAGATACACTTGGATATTCAAAGTGTCTCATTACAACCTAGGAGATGGAAGTCTTCTCTTTGACCAAAGCTTTATCTCTCCATCTGCTCTTGTTCAATCACATTAGTAATTAGAAGATTTCCATATCAATTCCAAAGCCTGGGCTGGGCAGAACAGGGGCATTCCTGTTATTTCCTTTCACAAATTGCAAATTTGGCTCCTGTTTTAACAGCTAAGCTTATTGTGTCTTCACCATTGCTCATCCAGCCAATATTCCCATAGATCTTTTTTTAAAAGACAAAAAAATTAACAGCCTCAAAACTTACAGGGGAAAATTTTTCCTACTAGGAAAGACTATCCATGCATCTAGATAAAACAGAAGACATGGTTTTGAGTAGGAAATCAAGGTTGTCAACTTGCATTTTGCTTTGCAATTTATACTTTTCACATTCCCATTTTCTGCCTCTATATTTTTGTTGAATGTCTGCTACACATCACACCACATCCTAGGTACCATCCTAGGAGATACAGGAGGAAAAAAATTTTATTAATCCTATGAAACTTACATTCTGTAGGAGCAGGCAATAAACAAGTAAAAAAAATATATAAGAAAGAACATTTCAGAAAGTTGTAAGTGCTATGAAGGAAATAAACAGTATGATACGTTAGAGAATGAAAGTTAATGATGGGGGGGGCATCATGATGTGGGGTGGTGGAGAACAGAAAGGCTGGTCTTACCCAGGAATTGCCTTTGGGTTGAGATCTGAAGGATGAAAAGCAACCAGCCACTGGAGAAGCTAGGAAACAGTACTCCAGGCATCACTTCATTTATTCCTCTATGTGACCCAGTGAAGTGAACATTTTAGAGAAAGTAACACATTTCACAGTTAAGAACACTGACTTGGAAGTTAACTTCCAAGAAGTTAAGTGATTTACCCATAGGCACCCACCAATGCCCCTATCAAAGATGACTCAGGAACCATGACTCATGGCAATGCAGTGCTTTCTCTTATCAATTCTCAATCATAAACACACATACTTAACATGAAATTCAAGTTACTTTTCTGTCTGGTTTTCCAAAAGATTAAGAAAAACAGTTAAATGACTCAAATGTTATTTATCTCATTCCTTGAATCATCCTATAAATGCATTATGGGGACTTAACTATAAATAACCAAGAATATATAAATAAGTAGTATTAGAAACTTATAATCCTTGGTTTTGGCATGTTATATTTATGCAATCTTATTAACTCTAT